GTTGGGAGAGTGCAAATCACATCTGGCCTTTAAGTTGCTACTCTGCATTCAACAGAAAGTCACTGGAGACCTTGGGGAGAGAAATGACACAGTCTGACTTTACATTTAAATGATATCATTCCAGGTGTTAGGTCAAGAATACACTGAAGGGGGCACAGATAAAAATGGAGCAACCAGTTAGAGGCCACAGCAGTAATCCAGCAGAGGTAATAATGGTCTAGGCCAAAGTGGTGTCCGTGGAGGTGATGGGAGATGGTGGACTTCTGCATGTATTTTGAAGGTAGAGCTGACAGACAGGATTGGCTAATGAGTCAAATATGGGGCAAGAATGTAATAAAGGAATCAAGGATGCTAAGGTTTCGGCCTGAGCAAGTGGAAGGCAGGGGACCACTTTCTGTGATGGGCAATTGATGTGGAGGTATGGTTTGGAATTTGGTGTTAGACATCTTAAGCAGGAGGTGCCTGTTAAACATCCGGGTCTGTCAAGCAGGCAGGAGCATATTTCTATAGTGAGTTCAGGTAAAAGATCCAGGCTGGAATACGCACTTGGGAATTACCAGCAGATAGATGGTATTTAAAGTTGTGGGTCACCAAGGGAGAGAGTGTGTACATTGAAAAGAGGTGCAAGCACTGAGTTCTGGAGCTCTCCACTGTTTAGAGGTCAGGAAAATGAGGAGGAACCCGCCATGGAGACAGAGAAGAAAAAGCCCAAGATGGAGGAGGAAAACCAGGACAACGTGGTGTTTTGGAGGCAAAGGGAAGAAGGTGTTTCAAGGAAAAGGGAGGTAAGAGTGTCAACTGCTGCCCAATAGGCCAAGCAGAGGAAAACTGAGAACTGAAAAGTGGCGTTAGAATCATGTTGTCAGACTCTATGGAAAAAAGGTGAGACTGCAGCTGAAAGATCGCCATATTTACTAATTCTAAGACACCTGAATGTATATTTTAATCAATGCCTTTTCATAGTTTGTTTGTAGTGTTTCCTTTTTCTCCTTAGTGGTGTATAAAAGAGTGGTATGTCTCACAGTTAACTGTGTCTCAGATTTGGTGAAATATAGTAAGAGGTTTTTTTTACTTATACATTTGAATTCACCTATTCGTTAAAATTTGACACATCATCAATAAGCCTAATATGTCAAATTCTATACATACATTGCAATGTTAGCCACCAATTACTCGTGAAGAACATCAGCAGAATTCCAGAAATTCCTCCTCTTCTGCAAAATCTGCTTATGTAATACCTGACCAGGTTGACTCAAGGACATACATTTTTAGATGTATTTTTTCTATTTGTATTTGAGTCCTATGTGGGGGAAATGCTGATTTGCTTTTCAATATCCGAAACAGCTTAAATTTAAAAGCTGTTAGTTAAAACAGAGAGTGACATATACATTTTAAAAATAAATACCTTAGGTCGGGCACAGTGGTTCACACCTGTAATCCCAGCACTTTGGGAGACCAAGAGATCAGGAGTTTGAGACCAGTCTGGCTAACATGGCAAAACCCTGTCTCTACTAAAAATACAAAAATTAGCTGGGCATGGTGGTCCCAGATACTCAGGAGGCTGAGGCAGAAGAATCACTTGAACCTGGGAGGCAGAGGTTGCAGTGAGCCGAGATCACGCCACTGCACTCCAGCCTGGGCAACAGAGCAAGACTCTGTCTCAAAAAATAATAAATTAATTAATTAATAGCTTCACCCTAAAGGCTAGAGAACAAAGTCACTAGAGGGCGGGTCTGAGGAGAATAACAGTCTCTGACTTCCAAAGTCAAAGGCCATGCCTCTGGCCACCTTGTGCATAAGATAATGCTTTTTAGGCTACAACCATGAGAGGCTTTTTTCCTGCCAACAGTTTTGTGTGCTTTATAATCCTCAAACACCCTAAGAGGTTAAAGAGAAAGGTGCTGTCTACTGGAAATGGCGTTCCTGGACTCAGAGGTGGAAAAGGCAGTGGGATGGGGGTGGGGGTGAGAACAGTCCAACCCCGCCGCTGGAAAATGACTGCGGATGACTGCGGCCATCAGCCCGGAGCTGGAACACTAGGACACAGCAGCCTCTTAAAGGGAATAACCTGCTCCTTTCAGCCTGGCTTCCTGCTGTTTACACTTCAAGCCTACTTCCCATAGGAAATTCGGGCTGACAGACAGGATGACTGTCTGGAATTTTTAGTCAAAAAGTCTACCTGGCAAAGGAGGGAAAGCTGCTTTGGTTGCAGCAACTGCTGCTGCTGTTGCCACTGCTGTCTGGTGCTGAGAAAAACATCAAGTTCAACAGAAGTGAGTTCAGATTAGAAGGACTCCATTACCTCTGACTTGAAACAGCCTCTATTTCTTAAAACAGCCTTGTAGAGCCTTCAGCCATTGGGTGTCTGGCTTTAGAATTTTTCTATTTCAAGTAATTTCTGAACAAGTAGGAAATCTGAGTGATTTCTACAGAGGAAAATTTACTGCTGATGACAATTTTGTAGGCGTTTTATTTCAGAACAAGCTGGGCTTTGCTAAGGTAAATAATTTTTTTCTTGATTGAGCAGTTTTGGTTTTTTTTGTTTTGTTTTGTTTTTTAAATCAACCACAAAAGGTTAGACCTTTCTAGCACCAAGTAATTTATGGGAAAATCCAGATTCTGATCATTAAGGGACAGTGTCCAGCGTCAGATCAGTGCCTGACTTTAAAACCTGGCACTGCTACTTCCTAGCTATGTGACCTTGGGGAAGTTACTCTTCAAACCTCAGTTTCCCCATCTGTAAAATAGGAATAGTAGTGGCCTTCCTTATAGGGTTATGAAAATGGAGTTGATATTTATAAAAACTTAGAACAGGACATGGCACTCAGGAAGCATATCAATCTTTGTTAAAGAAAAGTAGAATGTGAAAACAATGTAGCAGAAGGAGCCTTTCCTATAAAGGTTAAAAATGTATATCACAGTAATCACATTTTATGTCATCTTTGCATTCCAAATCACCTCCTGATCTTGCCTATGCTGGTAGTAACAAACACCCCATAACTTCATTTTAAGCAAAACCAAAGTGGCAAAGTGCTAACATATCATCCCTAACACACTTGATTTGTTCATTTCCAAACACTGCATATGGTGGTTTTAATGATTCAGATGAAAGTTTTCTTAAGCTATTCCTGATACTTGATTGAAGAGTTTATTAATATTGTTCAAATATATCCACAGCACAGTTTACAGTTGATCAACTTCTGTCACCTAACCACTGAAACCTCTAGGAAATCTTTGTATAAGAAATATGCAATTCCACTCCTACAACTGCACTGCGTTGCAAATGTACTCCCACTATTGGACTGGCCCTTACTACTTACCCTAGAAAGAGGGAGAAGTCTGCAGGGTTTTGAGTCTGGGAGATGGGTTTTGTTCACAACCCCCAATAAAGACAAATTCTCCCACATTTGACCAATCCTAAAAGAGGAATCACACTTGGGGAAGGAAGGAAACATTTTTTTCTAAGCCTGTGGTTGGGATTCATAGGAACTTAGAACTCTGAACTGGGCTGTTATTGAGTAAACCATTTTTGCTGGTTTGCTAGGGAAAGAGGGATGTTATGATTTGCTTTGCTTGAGTAGTACACTGTGGATAAGGGATAGAATGGAAGAAATAAGAAATGTTATCACCAGAAACTCAAGTCCTAAAATATAACTTAATTCAATATATAAATAAGTACGCTAAGCAAATTATGTCTTGGTTGTTAAGCAGCGTTATTTCCCCAAAGAACACTCTTTACATTCAAATTGAGACATCAAAGTTATGCTAATAAGAGGTTCGACCACCAAGCCAGCTGGTCTGTACTTTAACTTAGTATTTGAATTTCAATCCTAAAATACAGAAGGGGTTGGTTGTAGGTTGTTTCCAACTGCAAGTTTCAGTTTTTGCATCTCCGAAGAGAAGGATTTTAAGATGAAAAGAGACATTACAAATATTTGAATCCAAGACCTTTATCATTAAGGTGAGCAAAATCAGGCCCACGGGGTCCTTCTCTCTGCACAGCTTCCCTCCCGAGCCAATGCTGCCCCACTCCACACATCTCCCAATGAGCAGGTTTGCTTTTTCACTGGTACACAGAATATTCCCTTCTTTCGCCTCCCAAGGCTGCACCCATCAACTTAGCAGGTGCCACCCATCCTGCAAAAGCAGCCCCGTGTGAGTAAATTTCCTTCCTTCCAGCCTCTAATATTGTTAGTCAGACTACCCATGCCACAGTCTGATTTTCTTTTTTCTTTTTTTTCTTTTTTTTGTTGAGATGAAGTCTCATTCTGTCACCCAGGCTGGAGTGCAGTAGTGAGATCTCGGCTCACTGTAACCTCTGCCTCCCAAGTTCCAGTGGTTCTCCTGCCTCAGCCTCCTGAGTAGCTGAGACTAGAGGCACACACCATCACGCCCAGCTAATTTTTGTATTTTTTAGTAGAGATGGGGTTTCACCACGTTGGCCAGGCTGTTCTCGAACTCCTGACCTCAAGTGATCAGGCCCCAGCCTCCTAAAGTGCTGGGATTATAGGCATGAGTCACCATACTTGGCCTCACACTCTGATTTTCTTTTCCACTCTTCTTGTACTGGTCAATCTTTAAGGCATTTTATAGTCAAAGTTCCTAGTGCAGTTGTTGCCTCTGCAACCACTTCTGGCCTATGTGACTCATTATAAATTTTGACCCTAGACAGATTTCTACTTGGGTTGAAAATCAGATATAATGTCCCTCCGCCTGACCTCAGCTCTCCATGAATGCTTCAGTATGGCTCATCTCCCTGACCTTGTGGGGAAGAAAAAGGGGCAACCAACCTGGCAATTTTATCAATGTTACATATTATATCAATCAATCTGCACAGACATCCCATGAGATAGGAGTCACGCCCACATTACAGGTGAGACACAGGCTTGGTACCATGGCATAGACAGGACTGATATTCAAAACCCAAGTATATCTGACGCATGAGCCCTCACCTTTCACTGCACTATGCTGCCTCCCAGGGTGAAGTAAACAATTATCAACCCCATCTTTCTGAATCTTGGTTGCTTCTTTGAATATAAATCTCTTGAATATGTCTCTCCATCAACCCCCACTCCTCATCATGGGGTCCTAGAAAGGGAAACAAGTAGAAATTGAGGAGAAATATGTTGCAACAGTGTATTTGTGATGGTCTAGGTTTCAAGCGTCTGTCCACACCTCCACTCCTCCTTCACCAAAGGATGGAAGGGTAAGAGTGAGATGCAGTGTATGCACTAGTTCCCAGCTCCGGATCCAAAACCATATGCCTGAGAGCCAGTCCCGGCTCACCACTGACTCGTGGTGTGGCCTTAGTCAACTTACTTTATCTTCCTGTGCCACTGCTCCTCGTGTAAAATTGGCATGATCCTGACATCATAAGATTATTCTGAGAATTCAACAAGAAAATATATATAAATCCCACAGAACAGTGCCTGGCACATCATAAGCATTCAGCAAACAGGAAATATTATTCTCTCCCTTCCCTCACCAATAATAAGGCTCTCCTAGAGGAACTTTCTTATAGATTTATCCTGGACGAGAATATTTTCAAGTAAAACTGAGTTAAAGTCAGAGAATGTCAAAAGCAGCCAGAAAGGTGCTCAAGTCTCTAAGAGGGTTCAAGGAAAGGAGACATGAAGAAGAATACCTTTGTCTCTTCAAGAGAAAGGTGGGAAGGTTTCATGCATGTTGAAAGAGTTTAAGAATTCCTTTAAGTTGCTTTCACCTGGAGCCAAGATCACCTAATTTATCTCACAGCCACCAGTTCTTTCACCTCCCGCAGCCTGAAATCATCCAGGTAAAAGATGCTCATCAAAGGTAGACACATACCACTTCCCCTTCTGGCTTGATTATCATCTGGGGACCATTACCAGTGTCACCCAGGTTATCCAGGGGGAGATAGCAGGTCAAGCTCTGAGACACGCCTTCCATCCCTGCCTCCTCATCTACCCTATGCCCCTGATAAGGGCCAAAGGGCTATGTTCCTTCATTCCTTTGCTTCCCTAACCTCAGTCTCCAGTATCCTCATTTATCTTCTAGGTTTTTGCATCGCCTGTGTGTTTTCTCATTCAAGAAACTTGAGTAATTGTTTACAAACCAGAATGTCCTCTGCACTGAGCAGAAGAACCCTGCAGTCCTTTGACCAGGAAAGCAACATGTCAAATATAAAGAGCACTGTCTCGGGAATTAGAGAGCCAGGCCTTGGCTTCCCTCTAACCCTACTGGCCATGTGACTTCGGGCAAGTCACCCTTCCTTCCTGTGCCTCAGCTTCATCCTCAGTATAATGAGAGGAATGGACTAAGTGAATCTCTTCTAACCCTGACTTACATACAAACACACACACAGACACACACACACACACACACACACACACACATTCCCCATGATCTTCATTGCTCTCCAACTTGTAAATTTTCCAAAAAATAAAATGAAAACAAGCACTATGTTACTAAAGCCTAGTAAGCCCTAGTCCTGGAACAGTGCCTTGAACATGGTGTTCAAATATATATAATTAAATAAAAACATCACAAGTTAAGCAGTCGAATAACAAGTCTTTTTAAAGATTATTTTCTAGTTTTTCCTTTCCCCTGAGATCCCTTAAGAGTGAACCTGGTTACAAACTTATCCCAAACTTCCCTCCATCATTTCAGAGTAGGATAGCATGTTTACTTCATATAATGTATTTCCCTGCTTTAGCCAAATTCCAACTAATTCAGAATTGGGCAGACATTTAGCTTCTATTTAGGCAAATAATGCAACCTATAGATAACAATAACTCTCAACCAAGAGATAATACACCAAAAAGCAGAACAAAGAGGGAGAAATATCATCTAAGACAGCGAATAATTCCTCTCTAATTTAATATCTCTCATTTTTCCAGGAAGAAATTTGGTTGTCATAGCTAAAAATATACCCTGTGGACAAGAGGTCTACCTGGGCCCCTGGAAAGCCACCTTCTTCCCAGCAGAGCACTTAGCCTGTAACCTGCATGTGAAACCAGATGTGGACATTGCCTTTCTAGAAGTGAAATAAATTATTTCTATAACCCCGGCCTCCACCCATATATGAGTGACAGTTTTCTCCATTTGCAAGAATCACTTTTATGTTATCTTGTAAAATTTAAGCACGTAGTCCCAACAAATTACAAAGATTCACTGATCTGTGGTAAACATGTAATTTAAGGAAGTTTTTACTGGGGAGAGTCATGTTCACACTAATAAGCCATGATCAGAAATACTAAAGTTAAGAAGAATTTCCAGTATAGCCAAAACCTGCACCTATTTATTAATACTTAAGAGACTGGGAGGGTTTTACTTCCAGGACATGTGTATCCCAGAAGCTGGCTACTCTCTACAGGTGGATATGACCTGTTGACCTCTTACCAGCCCATACAAGAATTGAGCAACTTTTCCAAAGCAAGTAAAGCATTTACTAGGTATGTAAATACCTCGTGACCCACCTTGTGACCAATGCAAGGTTGTTCTCAGGAGTTCTGTTTATGGCTGGGGCTCCTTGGCTCATATGAAACCAAAGTGTCCCTCATCATAAATATTCAGAGATGGATGAAACCTTTGGATAGGACTTTTCCATTCCTTTACAATCAGGCTGCATGCTAGAATATTATAATTTTTGGTTACACACTTGAAGGGAATGAAAGACTCAAGACATTACTAGTTCTATAATAACTGCTCAATTTCAATTACTACAAAAATATCTCACATTCAGAAGTAGGATCAAGATGGCCGAATAGGAACAGCTCTGGTCTGCGGTTCCCAGCGTGATCGATGCAGAAGATGGGTGATCTCTACATTTCCAACTGAGGTACCTGGTTCATCTCACAGGGACTGGTTGGACAGTGGGTGCAGCCCATGGAGGGCAAGCTGAAGCAGGGCGGGGCGTTGCCTCGCCTGGGAAGCACAAGGGGTCAGGGGATTTCCCTTTCCTAACCAATAGAAGGCCCTGACAGACAACCGGGAAAAACAGGACACTTCTGCCCAAATACTGCACTTTTCCCAAGGTCTTAGCAACCGGCAGACGAGATTCTCTCCCATGCCTGGCTCAGCGGGTGCCACACCCACAGAGCTTTGCTCACTGCTACTGCAGCAATCTAAGATCGAACTGCGAGGTGGCAGCCTGGCTGGGGGAGGGACATCTGCCATTGCTGAGGCTTGAGTAGGTAAACAAAGCAGCCAGTAAGCTCGAACTGGGCAGACCCCACCACAGCTCAAAAAGCCTGCTTCCTCTAGACTCCACCTCTGTGGGCAGGGCATAGCTGAACAAAAGGCCACAGACAACTTCTACAGACTTAAACGTCCCTGTCTGACAGCTCTGAAGAGAGAAGTGGTTCTCCTAGCATGGCATATGAGCTCTGAGAAGGGACAGACTGCCTTCTCAAGAGGGTCCCTGACCCCCATGTAGCCTAACTGGGAGTCACCTCCCAGTAAGGGCCAACAGACACCTCATAAAGGCAGCTGCCCCCTAGGATAAAGCTTCCAGAGGAAGGATCAGGCAGCAATATTTGCTGTTCTGCAATATTTGCTGTTCTGCAACTTCCGCTGGTGATACCCAGGCAAACAGGGTCTGGAGGGAACCTCCAGCAAACTCCAACAGACCTGCAGCTGAGGGACCTGACTGTTAGAAGGAAAACTAACAAACAGAAATGAATACCAACAAAAGGTCATTTGCACCAAAACCCCATCTGTTGGTCACCAACATCAAAGGCAAAAGGTAGATAAAACCACAAAGATGGGGAGAAACGAGAGCAGAAAAGCTGAAAATTATAAAAATCAGAGCACCTCTTCTCCTCCAAAGGAGGACCTTGTGACCTAATTTAAATAGAAATTTTCACTAACCTGCCCTCACACTCTCATAAACCTGGGGGAAAGTGCTTTCATGTTGCAGTGAGCACACAATCCTTCTGTGGCTTCAGGTTGGCATTGAGCGTGGTCTCTTCCCTCTGACTAGCAGCGCAGTGTTCTCCACCCTACAGCACATTGCAGGACCCCTCAGGCCAATGTTTTTCCTGATAGAAACCAGCAAGACAGTAGGCACACTCAGGTAAGGCACAAATAAACTGTCACACTGATCAAAATCTGGTGGCCCTTCTGTGATGGGTTCAAGTCTCCTGATTTTGCAAAGAAAGACGAGATGAAAAGAGAGGAAGTGCCTTGCCTGAGATCATCCAGTCTTTTAGTAGCAGAATAGATCTGAACCTCAGCTTTCCCAGACCCCCTCCTCTCTTCTCTATGGCTCCAGTTTGGCAAAGAGATGAATTGTAGCAGGTACATGGCATGTACACCTGTGAGGTGGACCCATACATAAGATGGAGCTCTCCCGGTGAAAGCTGACATCTGTTAGGAGATGGAGGAAGCATAGAACAATTTTTAAAGGAAAATACAAGGACAGCTGCCACCTTTTCCTTGCTCCCACTCATAGCTGATGGTTCTCCTTTGTTACTTAACCCTTCAGCAGACTTAGAAATAGTTACTGCTAGAGGAAAAACTGAGCTCGAACTGTTGAAATTCGAGAAAGTCTCCAAGAATCAGACTGTTTATCCAAGCTGTGCAAGCCAGCAGGTGAAAAAGAAGCTGCTAAAAGATGACCAGTCTATGGTGTAGACCAGATGCTGGTACACGACAGCCTGCAGGACAAACCACCTGTTCTTGCAAATAAAGCTTTGCTGGAACACAGCCACACCCATCATTTACATGGTGTCTCTGGCCACTTCATACTACTGACTTTCAAACAGAGTGGAGTAGTTGCAACCTGTAATCCTAAAAATCTCCTAGATTCTCTTAAAATACTTCTTAACTTGCTGACCCGTGGTATAGATAGCTTAGGGAAAATATTGTTTTGGACAGCATATATTTACATCCAAGTCTGAAGTCACTGAAGGTCAATCCATTTCCACACTAGTTAAACATAAGCACCCAAGCATTTACAAAGCTGCCTTGGCCTTTGAATTAGCAGGGTTCTCTCTCCTGGCATCACCCTGCTCTCCAGTGTTCATTGGCTGATGTGTTTCACTTTGAAATAAGCAAATCAGATAAGGGATGTCAGCAATCTTTTCCTAGTCAGTTTTTGCGTATATTAAAGCAGTGCTGTTATAGAAGTCTCCTTTAGCTCTGAAAAATAATTCTTACCATCTATGGCAATTTAGTATAAAGAACCCACCTGAAGGTCTCTATGTTTAAATCCCTAACACCAACATCAGTATAAGTCAACAAGAAAAAAACCAATGCAATGTCTTTAAAACAATACGGTCTTAAAAAGTATATGTAGATTAGTTAATTTATGGGTGCTGTACACCAGTGCTATCCAAGAGAACTTTATATGATGATGGCAGTGTTCTCTATCTGTCCTATCCAATATGGTAACCACAAGCTATGTCTGGCTACTGAGTACTTAAGATGTGGCTGGTGCAACTGAGGAGCTGAATTTTTAACTTTAGTTAATTTTAGTTTTAAATTAAATAGCTCATGACGCTAGTGGTTACCATATGTGCCAGCTTAGCTCTGGACCACCCCTCCTCGAGCCCTATTCCAGGCATAGGGAAACACACAGTAAGACCCAATGTCTTCTCTCTAAGAACTTAGAAGCTATGTGGGGAGACAAACCACATAGCCACAAAGAGTTAAACAGTGACAGATGGCGAGAGCTAAAGGAATGAAGAAATTGCATCTTAGAATCCAGTTCTACAGGATAAGACCTTTGCCCTTTTGCTGTAGTGGGTACAAAACAATCTGCTTGAGAAACAGTGCCTGCCCCGACTGATTTCATAATCCCTGTTGCAGCTGATTTAAAGGAGATGCTGCCTATCTACGGCATGTGCCTCATGTAACTACGTGGAGAGGGATCACTGTCTCTAACAAATGCTTACTGCAGTGTCTCCTCAAGGCAGAGCACTGAAGAATGTGCTAATCAGAAACTGAGCAGGTTTAAACTATATCCGATTCCTTTGTCTCCCACCTTTTTTCCCTCACTTTTCTTCACAGTCTGAAGGAAAAAGGAAATATGATCCAAGCCAGAAACTGCCGATGTTTTGTTCCTTTAGTCACTTTGCAGAGCTTCTTTGTCCATAAGTACTTTCAGGGCAATTCTTACTCCTCACCTGCTTGTCAAACTTCCCCTCTAAATTTCTAGGCCAACTCGTTGCTGAGAACAAGACTTCCTATTTTTTTCAAATGGTTAAAGAGGGAGGAAGAATGGGGAGGGAAGGGAGGAAGGAGAGGAAGAAAGAAGGAAAAGGGAAATAGTAACGGCACAAATTAAAAACAGCAATGAGCGAACAGCAATTGGGTTCTGTTCTCAGCTACACTGTTTTTCAGTTGGGACTGGAATACACTTTTGTAGCCTCCATAGCTATAAGGAAATGAACAAAGTGTTTTCAGCTCATTGGTGACTTTTCTTAGTGCCATGTATGGCCAATTGTATAAGGATTAAGTTCTACTATCTTTACTTTTGTTCTTTTGTGACAAAACAGATCAAATAAAAAATGTTTTCCATGTAACCTAGTGGTTAATGTGAATCCACATATATCCTTAATTTTTAATTAAATTGAACTTTTTGGACACTCCCCCGCCACTTACCCCATTATGTTGAGGTTATACAACATAAAGAAATACATCTTTTAAAAATGATAAAAGCATGACAAATTGAGTATTAACAATATTCTTTTTTTTTTTTTTTTTTTTGAGACGGAGTCTCACTCTGTCACCCAGGCTGGAGTGCAGTGGCGCGATCTCGGCTCACTGCAAGCTCCGCCTCCCGGGTTCACGCCATTCTCCCGCCTCAGCCTCCGAGTAGCTGGGACTACAGGCGCCCGCCACCGCGCCCGGCTAGTTTTTTGTATTTTTAGTAGAGACAGGGTTTCACCATGTTAGCCAGGATGGTCTCGATCTCCTGACCTCGTGATCCACCCGCCTCGGCCTCCCAAAGTGCTGGGATTACAGGCTTGAGCCACCGCGCCCGGCCAACAATATTCTTATCTTGCTGACACTTCAATCTCTTAACTATAATTTTGTATATAAACATTCTGAAGTACTTCCAATTCCTGTTGCTGAAGTAGATATACTACATGAAACCACAGTCCAGTCCCCAAACACATACCAACATCTACCAAACATAAAATTGCTCTGACTTCAGAAAGGAAGAAAGCGTACAAAATACCACAGCACCCTCATTCTTCCATCTCCTAGCCATGTGAGGCCTCATCTTATGTTTCCAATACTAGGACTCCATGAAAGTACGATTGTAGCTTTTAAAGTTTTTCACCTTTAAAAACTGTAAGTCCATGGTAGATGAAGATGGATGAGTAGAGCTGAATAATAAAAGAGGTTTCTGTTCGCAAGAAAGACGGAAACCAATGGCCTAGCTTCAGAGTTCGGAGGATCTATATGGCATCCAGGAGCATGACTTGTTCTACTGAGGGTAGGCAGGGATAAGTAAGACCTCTGATAGAAAACAACCCAAGGCTAAGCCATTTCCTTCCCACCTTATCCTCATGAACAATTCAGTGTGAAATAGACAAGGACCAGGAAAAGATCTTATTATACAGGATTATCTGCTGGCCAGAACTCAGTGCAATCAGACCAACAAAGCCCTGTTTCTAGAAGCCACTCTGAGCACCTGCAATGGCTTTACTAAACAGAACCTCTCTTTGTAATAGGATTTTACCCGGTTGCATGTTTGAGACTAGCAATTTGGAAAGAAAAAAGTTTCCTTAGAAAAGCATCTTAAATATAAATATCCCAATGCAAAAATCTGAGGAACAAGCCTAAACT